TAATTGTTGCCAAGTTGTCATTTTCAACATTGTCATCGTTCGAATTTCCCGATTTCCCCTGCATGCATGTCCTTTGTCGTTCGTTATCCTGCGTTTGTGATTTTTCTTTGCTGCATACTTTGGTGCGCACGCAGTAAATATTGTTCCCCAACGACTGATTGTTGTTTCTGTACCCTCTCTCCCCCCCGTCTTGTTGTGGAATTTGTGTTGTGCACACACATGACGTACGTGTTTGCCATGATAAAATGGGTTTTTCGCAATTTTCATAGCCGCTCTCCCTCACAGCCAGCATTCAATTTGGTCGTTGCATATGATTAAGAGCTAAACGGGTTAACCCCGGGATATGGTCGCCAATTTATGCAAATAAATTACAAATAATACAAGTGACACCCAGCCAAACAATTGCAAAAGTCGTTTGCAGAGAGATTTAACAAGTTGCTTTATCTAGCAATTGTCATTGAAGGTTTTTGGTTTATTATTTGTAATATAATAAATATTAAAAATAATAATATTGATATTATTTTTAATGATTATAACTTTAACAATTATCTTTTTTAAAGTTAATAAGGGAAATGTTAAGGTCAAGTGTGGGGTTTTTGAGCGGAAATACAATTAGCAACATAAATATATTTATAAATATTATTTTCTAAATTTTTTTGCTCTAAGAAATCCTTTCAAAATTACACGAAAGCTTGAAAATTCAGTCTAAAAATAGCTAATTAAAAGGAAATAGGAAACAGGACTTAATAATGAAACAAATGATATGAAAACTATATTACTAAACTTTCAATTAATTTTAAATTAGTGTCTCGGACAATTTTTGTTGTAAAATGAAGTTCCTCATCGCTAGTTTAGGTGACATAAATTTAATAATAATTCTGTTTAGCAAAGAATTTAAACAAATAACCAATTTTGAATATATAATTCCCAAACTCTAACCCAAATGCTTTGCATTATCAGCGTCACAGCCTCACCTTGACTTGGTTTTAATAGGCAACTGCCACTCGACCAGGCCCAAAACTTGCTCTTCCTTCTACTACTACTATTTTCACTTCACTGCCAAACAAAAGTGACTTTAAAAAGTGCTGGACTTGAATAGATGGAATGGACTCTGGCTCTCTAATCCAAGCCAACCAACAGCTATTAATAAACGAAAACGCTGCATTGTGGGCCATGGCCAAAAAGCGAACAGGAGCTCACTCCAGAGAGAGAGCTAGCGAACAAACCAAAAGAGAGCTTTTCCGGCTCCACTCCGCTCTTGAGTGAGTTTTAATCCCGACGCGCTCTTTTTGTGGGGCAAGGCTTTTGCTTTTGCTATTTGCATTGTGGTTTCCTTGCGGCCGTCGTTGTTATTTAAATTAATTAAAAATGTATGACGAAACAATAAGCGCAGGCAGACTGACCTTGTTTGTGGCTCTCACACACAAACACCCCCACACCGCCTCTTTTATGGCATTTTCCATATGGCGCGCGGTTGTCCTAATCAACTTGTGCTCCAATAAATAGGCAACAGAAAGCGCTTTCCCTTTTGAAGCTGGCCTGGCTTTTCCTTTCCGCCCTTTGTGTTTGTTCGTGACAAACGGGGAAAATTCCCGCCGCCGCATAATTGCATTTGTCTTTCGCTTTCGCATTTTTACCCCCAGCATATGTGTTGTATTTAAATATCGTTAAAGTTTGCTCGTAATTATTTTTTCCGCGATGGAACTTTCGTCATCGTTGTTGTGTTTCTTGTCTCGCGCGCGTCACACGCGGCGTATGCGTAATATTTTTGGTTATGCATGCAACGGTGCTGCGTTCTCCGCTTCAGGCGACCTGCTGAGGTGTGTTTGTGTGTTTTGTGTGTGCCCCACATTCCCGTAGCAATTAAAAACGGTTAGCGTGTTATTTTTATTTTAATTATAAAACCATAACTTTATGCTAATTCTTTTTTTTTTAGTATTTCGTTGTGGTGAAGTGCTGCGGGGCATCGTCATTGTAAAGAGAGAGAAAGGCCAACTATTAGTTATGTCAAGTTGTCCTTCAACGGATTTTCTGCTTCTATTTTTCTGAATTTAAATTTTGATTTATTTTACTGGCTAACCTCTTGCCATATACATTTCCCTAGCCAACATCCCCATTCCCTAAGCCGCTTAGCGCCCCTTTTAGACCCTGGGAATAAGTTTTCAATTTCCACTAACATCCATCCCCCTGAATAAGTTTTCCATTTTTGTTTCTGGCCATTTCAATTGTTTTTTGTTGTTTGGTTTTTGTTTTTGTGCCGAGTGGTCACGACTTAGAGCAATATAGAGAGAGAGATTTCGTTTCAAATCGCTGGCTAATTGTTTAATTGCATTTTATTGCCGCCGCTAAAGGATTGTGTTTTGGGATTATCGCCAATATTCCAATTGGTTTTCAATGGACACTCACTACCGAAATTGGCCAGAAATAGAAAATTGGCTTCAGAGCTGTGGGGAATATGTGCCATAGGTTTTTTTCAGCTAATTACAGTCTGATGGGCTGCGTGTGAAAATGCCAATTGCGATTGCAATTACATAAATGCGCTGCCCAGGAAAACTCATTTAAATGCATGGCACACAGGAGTACCACCTGAGGGGGGGAAAATGAAAAGCGAGGGGAAAGCGGGCAAAAGCAAAGGGGAGTGCCACTTTGGGCCTTTGCCCGACTGTTGTTTGTTGTTGCCTCCAGTGTCTGCCACTTGGCTCTCATTATCAACAACATAATCAACCACTTACAACAACTAAGACCGTCTCTGTGTGTGTGTGTGAGTGTGTGTAATTTTCAATGATTAGCCATGTTCTGCGCTACACTGAAAAAAAGGGAGAGCTCCTACTTAAATAATCATTTATTTAAGAGTTGGAAAGTAAAGTTAATTGGTTTTTTTCTATATTTTAAGCGTTCAAAAGTAAAATATTTCTTGAGAATAATATTTAATATATAAAGTTGACTCTTTGGCAGTTGAAAAAATGTATTTTTAATGGTAAACAAACTGTAATTAATATATAATTAATTTTTTTTAATTTTTATAATGGCAACTTTTTAATATTGAGGTTCGATTCGAGGCGGGATTTCATCTATATAACTCTAAAACAGCTTAAAAACCAATTGACTTTCTAACATACAAAAGAACATGACTACATTGTATCGACTGATTGTGCTTATCATTAGTATGTGAATAAGTGTATAGGATTGTAAATCTCTCCTTAATTTTTTCTCACTGTGTCCTTCTCGTCCTCGTTTGCCGTTTGTCGCTGTAGTGTTCACTGGCAATTGTTGGCAGTAATTAACAAACACTGCGAGAGAGAGATATCCTTACCTTACACGTGACGTCACGCACAAGTGAGAGTGACAAACACTTAAACGTTAAATGCACCCAGAAAACAACTGACAACTGTCTACCTTCGCTTGTGCTGTGGCTGGGCCCGTGTTACTGCCGTGCCTCTGCTCTGCCTTCTGCTCACTTCAGGTGTCATTGCGTGTGCAACACGGCGTATGCGACATAACTTTACACCCTTGCCATTTCCCGCCTTTCCTCGCCGTTTTCCTTCTCCGGTTTTCCCTGCTGACTTCCCCCGTACGCTCTTGGGGGGCTCTACGTGCTCGTGTAAGCGTGCATGTTTAATTTGGCATTGCGTACTTTGCGGCGCTGAACTGCATTTCACAGCCCCAAGTTTACTTTATTATTATTATTATTATTATTATTATTATTATTATTATTATTATTATTATTATTATTATTATTATTATTATTATTATTATTATTATTATTATGTGCAATTAAAGGAGCGACTTGTTTGGAGTATTTCATTTAACAAAAAACTACAACGAATGGTAGCTTTTAACAAATGACTTATTTCAGGTTTTAATAATGAAGTATTGTACTTTAAAAAAGCTTTACTAATTTGTTTGGAATAATTATTAATCCTAGTTAATGGGAATTATTTCTTTTCGATAGATCTTTTTATAACTCTATGTTCTGATTAATATACAAATACAATTTGAGATGGTAAAAGATCGATAAGGTGAATACCCTAGAGATTGAAGCTTATTTATCGGTAATTTTTGCTTATATCGATAAATACGATATCTCTAAGTAAATAAGTGGTTTATTTTGTATTATATTTACAAGAAGTTTATATCCGTATTTAATTAATTTATTTTTATTAAAATGTCCTTCGTTATTCATAGCAGAAAGATGTGTGTATGCACTATATATGGAAACTTGTGTCGATCAATAACTTTAACTATCATTGAAAAATTGTGCTATATTAAAATGTTAAGTTTATATAAACATAAATTCTTAAGTGATCACCAATTTGTAGGAGAAGAGGGATATATGTATGGGTTACAGGTTTGGAAGTTTAGACCTATCGATAAATATCGAAAATAATTGAGAAACCCTGGATTTTTTATACCTTAAAATGTTTAAAAAAGTGCAATAAAAAATCGCTCAACCAAAAAGCCTATAAAAATCAATCAATCGCAAAGAGATGCCGAAACTCGGCCACAAATGAAAACCCAATTTATGGTTGGCGAAATTGAAATGGGAAATGTCTGGCCACGAAACTGGATATAGTCGGAATGGTAGTGTAAATTAAAACTGCATTACATTTTAATTGCACACTCATGTCGACGCCTGCGACAGCCACTCCTGCTGCGACTCTCTTTTTCTCTCCCTACACTTAATTACTGTTATTTTATGCACTTTAATTTTATTTACATGTATATGTATGTATGCGCGCGGCTTATAAATCTTTAAGCGCGTCACGTAATTGTATGTATTTAATGTATTTAAATTATTTAAAATATGATTTGCATTTGCATTTGCATGCTGTTCTTTTTGCATATTTCATAATTCTTTTCATTCTTTTCTCATTCTATTTTTCTTTCATTTATTTATATATATATTTATCGTAACTCGTAAAATGCCTGTTATTGTTGTTGTTGTTGTTGCGCTTCTTGTGTCCTGTCCCGTGCATCCTGCATCCTGTGTCTCTGCGTAGCATTTTGGAAAGCAAAATCAGGTTGGTCCCACCCGTTCGCACCCCAAAGGAGCGACTACGAGTTAGCACACAGCTCCACACAGCGAGCGCGAATTCTAAACTTTTTTCCGTAATTTTTATTCCACACAGACAACAGTCACTGCTGTCGGACGAACAGGCCAAGGAAGTCGAGCAAATACTCAACGCAGCCGTTGCTGCCGTTGTTGTTGCCGCAGCAACAACATCGCCGACCAGCACCAAGAATCTCATTGAGGATTTGCCACCGTCCTCTGGCCAATCGCCATCGCAATCAGGAGCCAACGGGGAGCAACGCGACATTCACATTGCAGCTGTCCCAGCAATTGTTGAGGAAGAGGACGAGGAAGAGGAGTATCCAGAGGAGTTTCATCGGGACGAAGACGAGGACGAGAACGAGGAGAACCACGTCCGGGCCCGCTCCCGCGAGTTTGATGTCAATGGTGACGCTGACGGGGATTCGGATGACGTTGAGGCCGTGGACATTGTAGGCTATAGTCCAGCCACCACATCCACAGCTTTGAACGCCACCTTTGTCAAGGCCGATAGCACTGAGACGGAGACCACGACCACAACACCTTCGACGGCCACCACAGCCACCACAAGGCACGACGACGACGAGCCCGAGTGGCTAAGGGATGTCCTAGAGGTAAGTAAAAAAACTAATTTGGGGTTCTTTAATTCAATAAGATAAGGAAATTTGAGATTTTGACTTTATAAACTTGAATTTTCTTATCTTAAATGCTAATACATCATTATTTTAAAAATTAATTCGAGGTTGGTTTATTTATTTATGTTGCTCTACACTTTCAACATAGTCAGACACAACAGGAAAATTATTTACTATGGCCTTAAAATACGTAATAAGGATTTATGTCTCTTATTAATATTTTACAAAGAAAGATTTTATTTTTAGATATTTAATAAATAATATTTTAACCTTTTTTTTAGGCCCCCAAACGCAGCCTAGAGAATCTGCTTATCACCTCAGCCAGCTCTGTGTCAGTTCAACACCGCGAGGAACTTGAGAACGGCTACGATTTCCAGGTTAAACATTCCGATTTAAATCAAACCTATGTGACCGGCGGTGGCGGTGAATCGCTGCATGAGTCCATAGTGTCCGTAGAGTCTACACAATCGGATGCCACACTCAATCAGACGACGACCATCGATGACAGCATCATCTCCAGCAAGCACAATTCCACATACTCTCTGGCAGATGCCGAGCAAGCCACGAATTCAACTGTGCTAAGTACTGGCGTGACCGAGCTAGACGATAGTCAGTACTATATACCAGAATATCCGCCGGTGAGGAGTAAGGAGGTACTTGTAGAGGCGGGAGTGCATTACTTTGAAGATGGCAACTTTTGGATGGAAGTGCCTGGTGAGTTTGAAGCTTACTGACTTAATGGAATATATATTCAATTTTATTTTATATGTTTTATATATTTTATATATTTTGTACATTTTATATATTCTAAATATTAAATATACTCTCTATTTTTTTAAAGGTCTCCTAGACTTTGACGACGACGACTGCTCCTACCCGCCCATTACTGTACGCAAGAATCCCAAGGTACGCTTCAGCTCCGGCCCCATCCACGTGTACTCAACATTCTCCGTTAATGACTACGATCGGCGAAATGAAGATGTTGATCCTGTGGCCGCTTCGGCGGAATATGAGCTTGAGAAGCGTGTGGAGAAGATGCATGTCTTCCCCGTGGAATTGATGAAGGGTCCCGAAGGTTTGGGTCTCAGTATAATTGGTATGGGCGTTGGCGCCGATGCTGGCTTAGAGAAATTGGGAATATTTGTAAAAACAATCACCGATAACGGAGCAGCAGCCAGAGACGGAAGGATTCAGGTGGGTGTTAGATTACCATAAGCTTTAATTTGTTGATATTTACAAGGTTTATTTTATGCTTAGGTCAACGATCAAATCATCGAGGTGGACGGCAAGAGTCTTGTGGGCGTTACACAGGCTTATGCAGCTTCTGTGCTGCGCAATACTTCCGGTCTAGTCAAATTCCAAATTGGACGCGAACGCGATCCTGAGAACTCAGAGGTAGCACAGCTCATACGACTGAGTTTGCAGGCGGATCGCGAGAAGGAAGAGCGCTTGAAGCGGTTAGTTTTCTTAAAAAATAATAAAATATTTATAATTAATAATATAATTATTACTTAGCCAACAAGAGGAGTATCTGCGACGTACTCTCGACTATTCCGAGGACTCTACGCAACCCGTTTCAGCGAATTCGAGTGTGTGCGAGGGACCCTCGAGTCCTGTGCAAGTCGAACATCCCATGGAGGTGGAGGCCACACATTCACAGGAGGTAGAGTCGCTCAAGCGGCTGCTGCAGGAGGTAAGGCTTTCCAGGACAGGAATTTCCCTGAAGCGACCTTACTCTTAACTCTTGTGTGTGTTCTTGTGTGTTCTCTCTTCTCTCTCCTTTTTTGCTGAATTTTGATAATAATGAAAAATGCAGCACAAAGCGGTAATTGGTTTTGAAAATATACATCATTGAAAATCGAAATTTTAGATACTAAAAAAACAAAAAGTAGAGCACATTTTTGAAACACTTTTGATTGTATTTTGAATTTTGATTTTTTTTTTTAATTTTATTAAATTTTAATTTTAATTTTTAATTTTTTTTATAACATTTTTAAATAATAATTCTTGAGAGTAATTATGTATATTTTACCTTATTTTTAAAAATTTTTATTTATTATTTTTTATTTCTTTTAAATTATTTCCCAGAGCGAAATGGGTTGCCTGGTCAAGGAAGAGATTATACAAAATCTAAAACGAAAGGTTTGTTTTCTGTTTTGTTTCTTTAATTTATTATAATTTCCATAAACAATCGATCATCTCATCATCCATTGATTGCACATTAATTTCAGTAATATTTTAGTATTGTTTATTAATAAATTTCCCAAAACCTTCCCAGCTGGTCAAGCTCGAGACGACAGGCAATGAGAATGAGCTGCTCAGCGAGCGGCTACGCCAAAGCGAGCGGGAGCTCGGTAACATCCGCAAGGAGGCCGCCAATCTGCAGAATATGCTGCAGCAGTCCCAGGGCCAGTATATGGCGCTGGACAAGAAGTACAACAAGGCCAAGCGATTGGTGAGGGAGTACCAGCAGCGGGAGCTGGATATGTGCCATCGCGAGGAGTTCTACCAGCAGCTGCTCCAGGAGAAGGACACCGAGTACAATGCGCTGGTGAAGAAGCTCAAGGATCGGGTCATCAATCTGGAGCACGAGCTGCAGGAGACACAGCGCAAGGCTGGTTTCCCTGTCGGTCTGCCCTACGATAGTGCCACCTTGAAGCTGACGCCCCAAATGATGCGCAAGACGCCACCAAAGCCGCTTTTCCACAAGCTGGAAACGGAGCTGTCGGACACCGAGATCTCTGATCTATCGCCCGATGGCGATGGCGTTAAGACGGCCACCGTGGAGCGCAAGGTTCCGGTAAAGGATGAACTGGATGCGGCTGTGCCGCAGCACGAGCTGCTGGATAACTCGGTGAACAAGACAAAGATCGATCTGGGTGAGTCCTTGATACAATCGTTATTATTCTACTGAATCACATATTTTTACTTACCTATGAGACTAAGACTGTCGAAATTTAAAGAAAATAAATATCAAGAGATATAATTAGATGAAATTTAAATTAAATATTCAGATTTCCATTAATTAAACAAAAAACATTTCAATATTTTGTGTAGTTATTGGAAAGCATTGAAACGCATTCATATTCCAATTTATTTGAGTTATTACAAAACAGTTTTTTATTCATGGTGTAGAAAATGTGAAAGATCTATTTTTTTTAAGATTAAACAAAAAAGAAAACTAAGTTCAATAAGCCGAAATAGGAATATCCTCTCAGTTTATCTTAGAATCATGGCATTAAATCAAAAATCTATTATAACTAAGCCAAAAATAAAGAATATATATGATTTATAGGGTGGGAAATAACTCGTTTAATGCATTTGAAGTTTTCTACTGAAATTAGAATACCCACAACACTTTTGTATTTTTTTATTTTATTTTTAAAATTTTTTAAAATTTAAATCATATAACTGGTTTAAATATGCATATGTATTCACACATCTGACTTTAAAATGTAAAAATATATATTTTAATAAGAAGAAAAAAGTTTAATATTTACGAGAGGATGATGTAGGAGATGATATTTTGAGTGTGGTTCTTAAAATTAAAAATTCATTTGCACTAAAAATTAAAATAAATTAATTATTTATTAAAACATTCTACATCAGCATTCTGTGGAAAAGCTTAATCCGTTGATAGGAAAGTCATTTTAAAAATGTTTAAACTGTTTGGAACAATAGAAACATTTTTCATTTCAAAGTAAAAATAAAATCCAAAAATATATCTTTAAATTCTGACAGTCTTGTTTCAAAAAGGTGTTTGTTTGGTTTGTTTTGTCCACCTTTTGCCTTTGAACTGCACCTCTTGGGCTAAAGCTAAAGCTTCAATCACTGCGCTGTCTACCTTGACTTTTGTTTGCTATTATTTCTCTCTTCTTGTTTTGTGCTCTCCATTGTCATTGTCATTTTTGTGCTAATTGTTATTCTCTTTCTTTCCCATTTCTCTCGATTTTATTTGCTCTCTGTGTGTGCCGTTCTGGTTCTCGTTCTCGTTCGTTCATGTTTGTATTACGTTCCTTTTGCTCGTTGTACATTTGTGACTGCCACGCCACGCCCAACACGCTGCGCCCTCATTTTGCCCAACAACTACAAAAAAAAAAAAAAAAATCTTCACAAAAATTATCAAAAAAAATTCAACAATTTGGAACACACAAAAAATCGCACCCTTTGCCAAAAAACAAAATCGGTTTTATGTTAAACAAAAGCCTCCCGTGGTGGTTTAGCCAATCGGCAGTTGCCCTCAGCGAACGGCACCAGCAGCAGCAACACCAACGGCGCCGCCAGCAGCAGCGATCTCGGCCAGCTATCGAACGGCAATCTCAATCTAAAGCGCAGCAGGAGCAACAGTCGCAGCTCGGACTGCACTCTGGACGATACCGATGATGACGAGGAGGGGGATAGAGGCGTGGAGGCAGGTTCGGCTTTGAATTTGGCAGGCGGTACTTCTAGCTCCTCCACCCACGACATCATCAGCCTGTCCAACGGCAACTCCCATCTGCTGGCCAATGTCAACAATCTGCTGCAACATCATCCACCGCCGCCAGCGGCAGTTAGCACGTCAGCCTCGTCCAACGGCCATCTGGGCACCACCACAGCCATTCTGTTGAACTCCACATCCTCTGCCTCGTCCAGTTCTTCCAATCAGTCGACGGCACGCGAGGCACAAATCAATCAGCTATATGCTCAGGTCCACAAGGATCCCAGCAAGCAACAGCAGCAGCAGCAGCTACAGCAGTCGCAACAGCAACAGCAGCTACAGCAGTCGCAGCAAACGGTGGTGACCAACAGCATACCGGGCATCTTTAAGAACGCTTTGGGTTCGCCGGCGGACAACAATGGACTGAACGACTTCCATCGCGGCAGCATGACCACCTTTGGAACAGGTCCGGCCAGCAGCAGCAATCGTGATCTCAACAGCTCGTACGACTCTATACTGGGCAGCAATGACAAGCTCTCGGAGAACGAGCCGGCGGAGAGCTGGATGTATCCAAGTCGAAGGAGAGTGGCGCCCAACGGCAGCAAGGTTCCCTTGCCCGGTTCCAGCTTTACGGATCAACTCAATCAGGCGCTGTCCGATCGTGAGAGGTGGGTTTCAGTTTCAGTTCAACAAAATATAGAAAAAAAATCTTGGAAACAAGAACCGGAATATATTTTTCTGAGGGTTTCTGTTATACGGTTGCTTTGAACTTTTTTCCAGGCGACTCGGCGATGGATCCTCGCGACATTCCAGCGACGATTACACGGAGATCAACAAGAGCCAAAGCGCAGCGGCCATCAACTGCAAGACGCTGATCAATGAGATCCGCCAGGCGGTGAACGAAGCCCAGCCCAAAGGTGAACTATGACCAACCAAATCAAACCACCAACCAATGCCAGCACAAACCTCCGAATCTCTCTCTCTAGCCAAAATCAGGCCGTAGTAGACTAACCCCAGTAGAAACGATCATCATCATCTCATTACTCCACACTCTCACAGAACTGTACATATGTTTATCTGTTTGGAAGCCCAAAAAACTAATCAAACATATTATTCTGTTATAACCATATATATATATCTATATTAATGCCAAGGTTTTGAGAGTTCTCACTGAGCGTTATCCGTTTACATTGCCACCCGCATTGCCCCCATAAATATATATAAATATATAACTCTAATGAATGTCTAACCGAAACCAAATGCTCAGCGATCTTACTAACAGCCGACTTTTCTCTTTATTCCTTCTCTCCTCTCTCTATCTCTGCGAAACTAACCTCGAAAATTGCTTCTAACTACCTAAAATCGAATTAAAAGTTAAACAAGTCGTTCCCCAATCACTCTCCCCGCCCGGCACAGTGCCCTGGCAGCAACAGCATCTCCACCAGCAGCAGCAACAGCCGTCCGCCCATACCACTGGCCCGCCCTCGCCCACTAGCATGTCCTCCGGCTGCTCCTCGCCCGGTTATTCGCCCAGCCGTACCCTGGACTTGTCCGGTTCCAGTTCAAGCTTCTCCGATCGCAAGGCGGCAGCAGCAGGATACAATTACAAGGGAGGTCCTGTACACGAATGGACCAAGGATCAGGTGAGGTGTTACTACACGCCAAGTTCCATCGCAACATATTTATATTCTACAATTCTTAAAGGTTGGCCACTGGCTAATGGGCATTGAGCTGGAGCGCTACATTCCCGTCTTCAAAGAGCACAACGTGGAGGGCGGGGCACTGCTCACCCTCGACTCCAAGGACTTCAAGACGCTGGGCGTGTGTGGCGACGACAAGCATCGGCTGAAGAAGCGCCTCAAGGACCTGAAGGCGAACATTGAGAAGGAGCGCAAGGACATGGAGCGAGAGCGTCGAGAGCGAGAGAAGGCCATACGCAAGGCCGAGAAGAAGGCGGCCAAAAAGAAGTAGTAGTTGAATTCCTAGTTGATAAGAGCATCAAAAAAGTAGCCAAAAACCAAAAGCATACGCAGTATATATGTAGTCTATGCATACGAACATGAAGCATATATATATCTATCGGTTATATTATACATATATATATATTTATATTCATAATGGTAATATATAATTTATTTGTACAACACACACACACACACACACATTATACATACGTACTACATTTTAACCTATGGAAACCTAATTAGCATCTCTAGACGTAAATTATTCTAAAAAAAAAACAAGGAAGAATATGGAAAGCAGCTAGGTCAGAAGGAGCGATAGAGTACGAGTAGATCTCGGTTAGCAGTGACCCCGAAAAACTCCAGAAAAATCCCCCACAGAAAACCCAGAACTCACAACCAAAAGAAGAAGCTAAGTAACTAGACAACAAACACAAAAAGGCGTTGGACTGACTGATTTTTATGATTAATTCAAATGAAAACCATAAAAGATAAAACATAAATAAAAAATAACTAAGCATTCTTTTTTAAAAACCAATCAAAAACCAAAAAAGAAACATTTTGAATTGAGAATTGAGAGCAAGCGAAATGCGTCGTAGGACAGCCACTTCAAATTAAATAAATATAAAGAATGATAATTAACAAATACGATAAAACATTGTAATAACGTTTAAGGCAATGTCTTGTGTTTTTTTCTAATTATTAATCTGTGTAATATTCGAGATAATATTCAATTCTAGATATACGTATATGTGTAAACAGCAATTGCATTGTATTTGTCAAGACATCTATATGAACTGTACTATCCACCCCTCCCTTAAAATTAACGCTAAAGTATTGTACTGTGTATGCTATATATGCCTGAAAGTCATTTAAGTACTTAAGTAGAGAAGCTAAAAAAGGAAGTGTGTATGTGTGTTTTCTGTTACACCAAATCAATGCAAAAAGTCCAAACATTTGTTGAAACAGCCAAGAAATGAAATCAATCTATTCGTTAGCCAAGTATGTCTGCATGGAGAGCGTGACTGTGTACCTTTTGTTTTCGTTCGAGTTTTTGTTTTTAAGCTTTTGTATAAATAATTTACATGTGTAGAGCCCCTTAGTATTTGTATTTCATAATTTTAGTTTGTTTTTATTTTGTGTTGTGTGTACGTAGTTTTATATTTATCTTATAATTTCTGAATGTTGCAATAAAACGGCAATCGTTTATCTATACCATATATTTCTTATCAAACTTCCAACGCCCCCCCGATGGATTTCAACACTGACCCCGAAGGTGATGGCCACAACACTGTTCCACCCAACTTTGATTTATTGAGGAAAACCAAATTGTAGCAACTAGTCCTTGTTTTCATTATAAACAATTAGCATATAAACAGGGCTGCCAAAGAAATCGCAATCAATTTTGGAATCAAATCACAATTTCTTGGAAAATGTGGGAACTCTTTTTTTTGGAATTTTTTGAAATTGATTTCAAAATACAAAACGATTTCTTTGGCACCCCCGTATAGTTATCAATATACGAATACTCTCTTTCTCTCTATCACTCTGTCTCTATTTGACTTTAAGACCCCGGCCGTGGCCAAAGGTGGGCAACATTCAGGTGTATGTCCCCGGGTTCAGGCGGCCGGCAGCGCATAATCACCGCATGTGTCTCCACTCGTCTCGTCGCAAGTCCTTAATATAGCTTTTGAAAAGCTCGCCTCTAAACAGTGCCACCAACGAAAAGAAAACAAAATCAACCGTTATAACTTACGAAAAAAAATGATAACACCCTAAATAATGAATTAAAATCGTTGTTTTCAGTTTTGATTTCGATTAAATTATGGAATTGAAATCGATGGATGCTATATATTTTTGAAAATTTTCAGTCATAAAAGACCGATTTTTATTCACTTTTTAATGCATCTTAAAGTATGCTGTATGCTCCCAAACTGGACTATGGCATACTTTTGGGCAGTCTTACAAGTGATTTCAAATCTCTTTCCATTTATTCATTCCTTTCACATTTTAAAAAATATTCCAAAAATTAACTTACTTTCTCTTCAAGGCATATTTTCAATTAAATTATTTTAATAAAACATTTAAAGCTTAATCAATTTCAATTCCACAAAAATTTGATCGGAATCGAACCGGGGAACAACGGGACAAATAAAATCAAAACACTTGAGCAAAAATTAAATGCAAATTGGATGACGCTGCACGCGACCGAAATTCTGTTGCTTGTATTTTTTTGGTTCACACTTCCGGAAGTAAAAATATTGCTGGGGAGTGTTTCGAACAAATTAATAAAATAAAAACCGGAATCACTGGGCACGCGTGCAGCGCTCGCCCAAAAGCATTTCAAGATAATTGTTATTTTTTTGAAAATGTATTTCAGTTCAAGTTTATTTTTGGGTAATTGTTTGTAAGCGTTTTTTACACCATTTTTAAAGCAAACTTAAGAAAAACCTAAAAAATAAATAACAATCAAAACCAGTTTAAAAATTCGTATATATTTAAATAAAATTAAAAAATTATAAAAGTATTTTAGCTGTGTTGCTCCGAAATTCTCAAAGAGTAGGAGCCCAGTCGCATAACACTCAAACCAAAAACAAAAAAAAAACGAATAACGAAATGTAAAACAGTACACATTCGTGCCTTTTTCATTGCGAAAAACCGTCCCAACCAGAAGAATACCGAGCGGGGGATCTTTCGATATACAATACCATCAATTCGGGGATTTCGTCAGATATTGCCAGCTTTCAGAGAAAATCCCCTGTCGAGAAATCCCCTGACACGAATACGTTGAAACCATTTGAAATCCCGCAAATGCCTTAAATCAAGAGAAATAATTAAATATTACCCATTAGATATTCAAACATTATTCAGTTTGCTTGTAGGTTTTTTAAAAAACATTTTCGAATTACTTGTTTTAAGTTATCCGTTTGCAAGCAAAGTTGGCTCGGTTTTGTGGCCACGTAAAAGGTAAATCAGAGGTTGATCCATCCAAGCGTTTTTTCAAACTCTTTCTCTTTAAAAAGATTCCGAAAACTTGGTTTTTCAATTTGAAAATAATTCCTGAAAACGATATAGATTTTGATAAGTTTCTTTAGAATTTTCTAGAAAAATAAATGGATTTCAAATCATTATCAGTTTCAGGAATAACTCAAGAGTTTTCGTAGTTTTTCATTAATTTTTTAATATATCATAATTTTCAGTTTCATATACTTTTGTGTGCTGTATCGCCATATATTATTACTATTTTAATACGGAAAATAGCTAACCCATTCCAAATAAAATTCAATAACAGATTGGCTCTAAATTACTTATTTTAAATCATTTTAAAACAAAATAGAAAGAAAAGACACAACTATCAGCTAAGCAATTACAGCTACTCTAGCCAATTAATATTGATGACAAAAAAACAACACCAACTGCAACTGCAATTAGCTAAACCAGAAAAAAAACAACCTAAATCTTACGAATCATGGAAAATAATAATATTAATAAATCACGAAACACAGTGCTAATAAATATACTCCGAAATAAACCTAAATATGAAGTGCATTTCTTGTTTACGCGCCGGCTGAGTCTCTTATCTGTAATCTGTTTGAGTTGCACAGCAATCCTGTTTACAAAACGACGGCATATTTAATGGGTTTGTTGGACCGCACAGCTCAAAACTCTGAAAGAGTGTCGCAAATCGAATGTGGAAAGATACAACATACTCTAGCGAAGATGCCACACCAGCAGATACCTCGAATCTTCCATGGAATCGTGAATGGGAACATCTTTCGGCACTTTTTCCGCTTGGGGTTTTCCTTATCATCTGGGAATTTTCCACTCTCTTTTTGGCCTGCTTCTTGGGCATACAAAGGTCAATTTTTCAATCTCTTGCTTAAACTGAAGATAGGTCTTAGGTCTTGGTATTTCCATGAGGAGTGTTCCAGCATTTTCGAATTCATTTTTTTTGGAATTCCAAGAGCATTTGAGTCTCGGTTTTAGTCACTTAAAAACAAGTAGTTCCCACACTATCTTATATTGATTATAAAACTAATGAGACCTTAGCAACGAAAGGGAATGACTAGCCTAAATTGAGTGTCTATCAGGAATAATCTTCTTTTAATATTAATTAAATTTTATTAAAGTAGATTAGGAACTAAATATTTATGCGTAGTTTCAGGGAGGGTATTATAATTTTAATCAGAATTAAATTTAACGCTTTAATTTGTTCAGAAAATGATCATATACATAAATATCCATTTAAAGACCTCAAATATTTCCGGTCTTTTTAAAGGTTTTTATGATTTTAGTCAAGGAAGGAGCCATTTCCGACCCTATAAACCATATATATTCTTGATCAGCATCAACAGGCGCGCCTTTCTAGCCATGTCCGAAAGAAAAAATTTTTTTGGCAATTTTTTCAAAATTTGATAAGGGGTTACATCATCATTTTTTTGAAAAAATGGCCAAAATTTTGATTTTTTTATACTTAAAATTTCGAATGCAGGTTTGTTAATGTTTAAAAAACTAGCATAGATCAGCTTTCCGAATTAAATTTGATACATTTTTGGCTTAGTTATGATAGATTTATGATTCAATGACATGTTCCTATGGCAAAATGCAAGGGTATACAAGCTTCGACTTCCCAAAGATATTATCCTTCCTTGTTACCCTTAATTTCTGGCTGAAAAAACGCCTTAATCAATTGGCTTAAATGCTAATATTGTTTTCCAAATGCAATGGATGCTGATTGCACTATGTCGTAAAAGTTGTTTACCGCTTTGAGTCCTCAAGATTCGGATCAACGTCACTGAATGGCTTAGCATACGACAATAAATATGTATGTATAGACCACCCTGGTAGTGATAAGAACATACATATAGAATAATGTTGCATTCTTATCAGTGTTGAAGCTCAATTTAACATCCGAAGCCTTATTGTTTTCCTTAAGAAATCAGCTTATGGAGTTAGAAATTGTGTCTTATTGTAGGAAGAAATATGAATCAGTTGCCGGGTGATTCAAAATCGAAAACCTATTACAACAGATAGTTAGATCTATGATCGACTCGTGTTGACTCTTAGGTGTCTGGTTAGAAACTGATGATCTGTTAAAATTTTCCGTTGATAAGCAAAGGTTGGTGATCTCGCAATAAAAAAAATTCTCAGCCAGTGGCATGTTTTGAAATTAATAATTTAAAAATAGCGCCAGTTGCGATTATTATGTTTGCTTTGTGATTAATTGGAAAATGTTGGTCAGGTTTATGATAAGAATTTTAAAATATTTCAAATATCAGTGTTAAAATTATATATATATTCTAGGGTAGAAAAAATCTTAGTTAGGAATCCCCTTTTTATAAATTTCTTTACCCAATGCTGATAAAAGTCTTGCTCAACTATTACAAATCCACTTCCAAAGATAATAAATATCACACTTTATTTATTTATTGTTGTAACTGACTTTCCTTACCTAATGGGTGGCTCAAAGTATTGCCTTTCTGCTCCGCAAATATATATTGTTTGGTGTATTTAAATTCGCTCGATTCAATTAGTTAGTTTAGGAGCCAACAATTCCGGCAATATAATAAAATTGAATGCTGAACAATCAGCGCAGGCAAAGGCAGCACGCAGATTCCGATCTGTTTGTCTTGTTTTTCCTGTGCACAGAAAAAAAGAAGATTTTAAATGATAATAAATAATAAAATAGTTAGGAAAATATAGTAATATTTATTTGTATACATTTTGTTTATTTTTTATTAAATTAAATTCTTAAATATACTTCAAAACCCGAGAATTATATACAATTTTAATGCTATAAAAAAACTTTCCCAAGCAGGGAGCAATTCTTAAATGATTACCCCATAAATCTATAAACCAAAAGCTTCAGATCGTTGCATTATTAAAGGTTGGCGATAAAAAGGTATTGCATTTAGGCTTGGCAACAACGAAATCAAGGCCAAAAGCTGTAAAATCATTTTATCATTTTATATCATTTTATAGATATAGCTAATATTTGGCCTTTAAAAATAAACAGTCTATAAAGATAATAAACTTAATAATCAAGGATAAAATCAATATTAAAAAAAAAAAATAATATAAAAAAACCAGAAATTTAATATTACAATTTGACACTTTTCTTATATTTTTATTTTCTATTTTTACTTATTTCTTTCATATTTTTTTCTCGCTGTGTAACGCTGCCTCGGAACCTGCGCCGACAGCGCTGCCTGCGT